AGCCCTCCTCCGCTCAGCCACTCACTCCTCCATCCAGCCAACCACTCTTGATGGATGATCTGCCGGCCCAGTCTCACCAAGGGACCAACCAGCCGATTCACTCGGGGGAGATCTACTTCAACGTAGACACCTTCGAGTTCGACAATCTGATGGGTGAGACTGGGCATACGTCCCAGGCGGGGGTGGGAGACCGGCCCAATGAGGAAAGGGACGCCAAGGAGGAGACTTCTGGGGGGTCCCTTCAACGGAAGAAGCGGAAGACTGAGGAAGTCAACCAGCCTTCCCATCAGGGGGCCCAGTCCTCCGACGCCGGCAAGGGGCCGATAGTGCCTCGTTCTCTGGCTTTAATGTCCAGGTCAAACGAGGAGCTCTTCCGAGCATTCCGAGCTGATCTGAATGAGGTAACCCCTTTTTCCTCTCCCACCGCCTACTTACCGTTTTTATACTTTTCTGAGTAATTTTCGATGTCTTTGAAGCAGGTCGGCCGGATCGGGGAGGAGTACTTCGCCCGGCTGGTGAAGTCGATGGATGAGGAGAAGGCCTGGATGGAGGCCATGATGGTCGAATGCCGGAAGGAAGCCCAGGCTGCCCAAGCCAAGGCAGAGAAGATAGAGGCCAAATGGACAGAGCACTGTGCGGTTTACCGCCAGCTCTACGCCAAGCACGATGGTCTCCTCAAGGCTGTGAAAGAGGCCGATGAGCAGGCCCAGGCCAAGATCAATCAGCTGGAGGCCGAAAATGCCCGGTCAGCCGAGGAAATCGCTCGGCTGGAAGATGAGCTGCAGAAAGAGCAATCGGAGCGTGCCGCCCTTGCTGCTTCCTGGGCCACTCAAACGCCTGAGGAGTTTGCTGCTAAGGCGTTGCCTGACCGGGAGACTGCCATCCGCTTCTTCCAAGGCTTGTACAAGTACGAGGTCTCGGCCGGGATTGTCGACGAAATCGGAACGTACGGCTTTGAAAGCGGCCAGTACTCGGAGCGGAAGGCCCTCTATGGCATCCTTCAGCAGAGGATCCAAATTTTTCAGCCAAAGGCTCTTTCTCTGCCCGAGCTGCACTCCGAGGCGCCTGAACCTCCCTTCCCGGGCATCTGATCCGTCCGGCCTTCCTTCCTCATCTGATTTTCTCTCTTTTTTTTATATGATGTAATGGTCTGCCTCCGGGCACTTTTGTATTTCATTGACATATTAATGAAAATATGCTTTATGTTATCATTTCTCATCATTTCTCATCATTTCTCTTCATCTTGGATTCTTTAACCGTTTAGATTGATAAATAACAGCCCGGCTTTATTTACCCGGCTTAGAATACAATTTTACCCAAGTCTTTTCGAAAGAGTGGATAGTCAGCCGGGAAGACTTTAAGGCTGACCTGTTTCCACAATGGCTCAACGCCCCGTGTGGATAGGCAAACCTTGAGTTTTCCTTCAAAACGTCCGACTTAACTGGCCGGGATGCTCTCCCACTAGTAAAGCCAAATCGTTTTTAACTCCCGTGTCTGTACGGATGAGGTGTTAAATCGGTCAGACCGGTCTTCTTTTCTTTTTTTTTTGAGATGTCCAATTCGATTGGACGTCTAACCGGGTAGATTGGTACGCGACGAATTACCGGTTAATATATGAGGACAATCTTTCCGAAAAGAGCGAACTTTTATTAATGGTCAGGAACCAGTTACACTTTATCTATAAAATTTACGTAAGTGATGAGAGTTCCAGTGTCGCTCGACCCGGCCACCCTCCATAGTCTCCAACTGGTAAGTGCCCGGTCTGACAATTGCTTTTACGCGATAGGGCCCTTCCCAGTTACGCGCCAGCTTGCCCCTCTTATTAGGCTTACTAGCATCCCTCCTGCGCAAGACTTCATCGTGCACCTGGAAGTATCGCGGTCCTACCCGGTTGTCATGATACCGCTTTACCGACTGCTGATAACCGGCCATCTTAACAGCTGCTATGGTCCTTCGTTCTTCCACCAGATTCAACTCAGCTAGGTGATCGACATCGTTCTGGCCGGGCTGATACACGGTTTCTCTAAATGTTGGAATTTCCGCTTCAACTGGCAACCGGGCTTCACATCCGTAAGTGAGCACAAATGGAGTTTCTCCGGTTGCCCTTCTTGAAGTCACCCTATGCGCCCAGACCGTGTGAGGCAAAGCTTCCAACCATTTATGGCCTTCCTCTCCCAACCTCTTTTTTAGGCCGTCCACTATCGTCCGGTTAGCATTTTCAACTTGGCCATTTCCCTGTGGATAAGCTACTGAGGCCTTGCTGTGCTTGATTCCAAAACTAGCCAAGTACTCAGTGAACCGGGGGTTACGAAACTGCGGACCATTGTCGGTAACAATCATCTTCGGGGCACCAAACCGGGTGATAATGTTTTTCCAAACAAATTTCTCACACTGCCGCACGGTTATGGTAGCCATTGCCTCGGCCTCGACCCATTTAGTGAAGTAATCAATAGCCACCATCACGAACTTCTTCCCGCCTTGGGCGACCGGGAAGGCTCCAATAATGTCAATCCCAAACCGGGCAAATGGTATGACATTAGACGTTGGTTGGTAGTATGTGGCCGGTCTGCCGGGATGTTTGTAAAATACCTGGCACGTCCTACATCTCTGGACATACCGCTCACAATCCCCCACAATGGTCGGCCAGTAGTAGCCAAGCAATATTATCCTTTGAGCCAGGGTGCGAGACATTTGATGGGCCGCACAAACTCCCTCATGC